TTTTTGAGGGACCTCCATATTGCCTTACACAATGGTTGAACTAGCTTACATTCCCACCAGCAGTGTAGGAGGGTTGCCCTTTCTCCACATCCTCGCCAGCATTTGTCATTCTTAGTCTTTTCAATGCTGGTTATCCTTACTGGTGTGGTTCCATATGAATTTGCATTTCCCTGATGATTAGTGATGTGGAGCATCTTCATTTGTCTGTTGGCCATCTGAATTTTTACTTTGGAGAACTACTTCTTCATATCCTCTGCCCATTTTTTAATTGGGTTTTTTGCTTTTTGGGTGTTGAGGTGTTCTTTATGTATTTTGGATGTTAACCCCTTTTCAGATATGTCATTCTCCCATACTGTAGGATGACTTTTTGTTCTGTTGATGGTGTCCTTTGCCATACAGAAACTTTTTAGTTTGATGTAGTCCCATGAATTCATTTTTGCTTTTGTTTCCCTTGCTCGAGGAGATACCTTCAGGAAGAAGTTGCTCATGTTTATGTTCAGGAGATTTTTGCCTATGTTGTCTTCTAAGGGTTTTATGGTTTCATGACTTACATTCAGGTCTTTGATCCATTCTGAGTTTACTTTTGTGTATGGGGTTAAACAATAATCCAGTTTCATTCTCTTGCATGTAGCTGTCCAGTTTTGCCAACACCAGCTGTTGAAGAGGCTATTTCCCCATTGTATGTCCATGGCTCCTTTACCATATATTAATTGACCATATATGTTTGGGTTAATATCTGGACACTAGAGTCTATGGGTCTGTTCTTGTGCCAGTACCAAATTGTCTTGATTACTGTGGCTTTGTAGTAGAGCTTGAAGTTGGAGAGCATAATCCCCCAGCTTTATTCTTCTTTCTCGGGATTGCTTTGGCTATTCGGGGTCTTTTGTGCTTCCTTATGAATTTCAGAATGATTTTCTCTAGTTCGTTGAAGAATGCTGTTGGTTTTTTGATAGGATTTGCATTGAATGTGTAGATTGCTTTAGGCAGAAGGGCCATTTTGACAATATTAATTCTTCCTATCCATGAGTGTGGGATGTGTTTCCATTTATTGGATCTTCTTTAATTTCTCTCATGAGTGTCTTCTAGTGTTCAGGGTATAGGTCTTTTAGAAATGCAAATCAGAACAATGAGATGCCTTAAGTGATATGTCATAGATACTGGTGACATGGTTGGGAGAAATGTGTATCCCCAACAGTCCAGTGATTCTACTTCTGATAGGTGTTCCCAAAGAAAGTCACATGTATGTGAGAAGATGTATACATGATTGCAGCATAGTTTGTAGTTGAAAATAGCCCATATGTCCTTCATTGGAAAACAGATTGGTAAAATGGTATATAGTCTTACTATGGACTACTAAATAGCACTTGAAAGAAATAAACTACAACTGTATTTTATTTAGATCAACCTTACATGCAATGTTGAATAAAACTGGACACAGTCATATATACAATATAAAATAATTTTTGTGAATGTTTTTATGTCAACCAAATACTATGCATGGATTATGACTACCTATGTATTTATGTAAAGTGTGAAAAATACACTAGAATAATGTACCAAAATTATGAAAGCAGTGGTAAGGAATTTGGGTTAAGATTTGGCATGATAAACTTTATTTTCATTAAGGTATCATTGATGTTCAATCTTATGAAGGTTACATATGAGCAATGTTGTGGTTACTACATTCATCTATATTATCAAGTCGCCCCAACATACACCATTACAGTCACTGTCCATCAGTGCAATAATATGCTATAGAGTCTTACTTTTCTTCGCTGTGCTATACTTCCTTCCCCATGGCCCCTCCTACCATGTGTGTGCTAATCATAATGCCCCTTAATCCCCTTCTCCCTGAGTGCCTGCCCTCCCCAACCCCTTTCTCTTTGGTAACCCTTTGGTAACCACTAGTCCCTTATTGGAGTCTGTTGAATCTGCTGCTGTTTTGTTCTTTCAGTTTTTGCTTTGTTGTTAATACTCCACAGATGAGTGAAATCATTTGGTACTTGCCCTTCTCCACCTGGCTTATTTCACTGAGCATAATAGCATCTAGCTCCAAACATGTTGTTGCAAATGGTAGGATGTTTTCTTCTAATGGCTGAATAATATTCCATTGTGTATATGTACCACTTCTTTTTTTTCATTTTGTTATCATTAATGTACAATTACATGGAGAACATTATGTTTACTAGACTCCCCCCTTTGCCAAGTCCCCCCCACAAACCCCATTACAGTCACTGTCCATCAGCATAGTAAGATGTTGTTGAATCACTGCTTGTCTTCTCTGTGTTGCACAGCCCTCCCCATTCCCCCCCTCACATCATACATGCTAATCGTAATGCCCCCTTTCCTCTTCCCTGCCCTTATCCCTCCCTTGCCTCCCATTCTCCCCAGTCCTTTTCCCTTTGGTAACTGTTAGTCCATTCTTGGGTTTTGTGAGTCTGCTGCTGTTTTTTTCCTTCAGATTTTTCCCTGTTCTTATACTCCACATATGAGTTTAATCGTATGGTACCTGTCTTTCTCTGCCTGGTTTATTTCACTGAGCATAATACCCTCTAGCTCCATCCATGTTGTTGCAAATGGTAGGATTTGTTTTCTTCTTATGGCTGAATAATATTCCATTGTGTACATGTACCACTTCTTCTTTATCCACTCATCCACTGATGGACACTGAGGTGGCTTCCATTTCTTGGCTGTTGTAAATAGTGCTGTAATTAACATAGGGGTGCATCTGTCTTCTTCAAACTGGGCTGCTGCAGTCTTAGGGTAAATTCCTAGAAGTGGAATTCCTGGGTCAAATGGTAAGTCTATTTTGAGCATTTTGAGGAACCTCCATACTGCTTTCCACAATGGTTGAACTAATTTACATTCCCACCAGCATTGTAGGAGGGTTGCCCTTTCTCCACAACCTTGCCAACATTTCTTGTTTGTTTGTCTTTTAGATGGTGGCCATCCTTACTGGTGTGAGGTGATATCTCATTGTGGTTTTAATTTGCATTTCTCTGATGAGTAGCAATGTGGAGCATCTTTTCATGTGTCTGTTGGCCATCTGAATTTCTTTAGAGAAATGTCTGTTCAGGTCCTCTGCCCATTTTTTAATTGGATTATTTGCTTTTTGTTTGTTGAGGTGTGTGAGCTCTTTGTATATTTTGGATGTCAACCGTTTATTGGCTTTGTCATTTATGAATATATTCTCCCATACTGTAGGATGCCTTTTTGTTCTTGGTGGTGTCCTTTGCTGTACATAAGCTTTTCAGCTTTATATAGTCCCATTTGTTCATTTTTGCTTTTGATTCCCTTACCTGGGGAGATATGTTCATGAAGAAGTCACTCATATTTATGTCCATGAGATTTTTGCCTATGTTTTTTTCTAAGAGTTTTATGGTTTCATGACTTACATTCAGGTCTCTGATCCATTTCAAATTTACTTTTATGTGTGGGTTCAGACAATGATCCAGTTTCATTCTCTTACATGTAGCTCTCCAGTTTTGCCAGCACCAACTGTTGAAGAGGCTATAATTTCCCCATTGTATGACCATGGCTCCTTTATCGTATATTAATTGACCATATATGTTTGGGTTAATGTCTCGAGTCTCTATTCTGTTCCACTGGTCTGTGGGTCTGTTCTTGTGCCAGTACCAAATTGACTTGATTACTATTGCCTTGTAGTAGAGCTTGAAGTTGGGTAGTGAGATCCCCCCCCCCACTTTATTCTTCCTTCTCATGATTGCTTTGGCTACTCGGGGTTTTTGGTGTTTCCACATGAATTTTTGAACTATTTGTTCCAGTTCGTTCAAGAATGCTGTTGGTAATTTGATAGGGATTGCATTGAGTCTGTATATTGCTTTGGGCAGGCTGGCCATTTTGACTATATTAATTCTTCCTAGCCAAGAGCATGGGATGAATTTCCATTTGTTAGTGTCCCCTTTAATTTCTCTTAAGAGTGTCTTGTAGTTTTCAGGGTATAGGTCTTTCATTTCCTTGGTTAGGTTTTTTCTTGGGTATTTTATTCTTTTTTATGCAATTTTGAATAGAATTGTTTTCCTTTCATTTTTGCTTTTTGCTTCCCTTTCCTAAGATGTGTTTAGGAAAAAGTTGATCATGTTTATATTCAAGAGATTTTTGCCTATGTTTTTGTCTTTGTAGTAGAGCTTGAAGTTGGGGAGCATAATCAGCCCGTGGTATGATAAAGTTTTTAAATGTTTTCTTTAAAGTTTACTGCTGAATGTAAAGACCAGAAGCAAATATGATGTTAATGATTTTTATTAATTCTGGGTGATGGTATCTTGCCAATGTGTTTGAGCCCTGGGCAAGTTCACTATGGATTCAGTGTGTCCAAGGAACTTGACAGCAAAATGTTCTTTGGGGTGAAGGGTTTATTACCCAGCTCATTCTCCTGGTGGTAGTTCGAGCACTAGCGTCTCTGCATCTGCCCAGAGCACTGGACTGAGTTCTCTATATAGCCCAGTAATACCTTATTGCCTAAAGGTGTGGAAGTGGTAGCCCAGCAACAGGCCTGTTACATCATCGTGGTTTAAGTTCAGTGAGGATCCTGGCCATAGGACCCCCAACTTCCCCACAGATGGGCTGTATTTTTTATATACTCTGTACATATCTACATTTTAAAAAGCTCAACAAAAAGTGGGGAATATATACATCAAGGGCCTAAAATTATGTATAAGTAGGTTTTGGATTATTCTCTTGTGGGTTCATGAAAATTGATATGTAGGAAGTTGTCTCATTTACTGAGGTAACAGGTGGAAAGATCTAGCCCAGTGGCTGGCCCACTGTGGCCCCAAACAAATACTGCCCCTTTCATCCTTAGCCCAGTGCTCTCTTAAAAGTATTTGGAAAGAGGACAGGTGGAGGTAAGAGCAGCAGCTGAACCAGGTAAAATGGTGAATTGGCAGAAGTTGTTTTAATCGGTCAATATTGAGTGTTTAATTAACTGTGCTTGTAATTAGCCATTTTTCTCAGCTAGTCTTACTTCTAATTCTCCCCAGGGAAGCAAGATGAGTTGTCTCTGCTGACAGCTCTGCTAGAGAATGAGCCAGCCTTGGCTTGTGACTTAAAAGAGAGTAATCCCTTACCCCGGGAAGATGGCAAGCCTGACGTATTTGATGAGGTGTTTGATGCTGCTGGTAATGGTGAATCACACACGGAAGAGGCTGATGATGGAGAAGTGGGAAAAGACTGAAGACCAAAAGGAAAACTTGGCCACTCTCTCTGGAGACATGGGCGACTTAACGGATGAAGAAATTCCCACTTTGCAGTCAACTGAATATAGAGTCTTCTCTACTCTGGCTTCCAATCAAGTGAAAACTTGTCAAGAGTTACAAGGTTCCCTAACTACTGGTTCTCTAATTTCTTAATGATAAACTGGATAGAGAGCACCAATCTGACAGTTTTCATCAAAATAGCTGCTGATTCCAGTGGGGAGGTAAATAACTGCAAAAAATACTGTATGAGTTAGTAGATCAAAGACTTAAGGCCAGCACTGTTGGCCAGCTATACTTGATCCTTCATAGAATGTCTCTAACACCTTTCTTGCCAATTACAGAAAAACATTACTTTGGGTTTTTCTGTATGCATATGGAGCCAGGGACAAGACTACAAAGCTACTATACAGTCTCTTTGAGCAGGAGACCACTTCTGAACTTTGGGTGGTACCCTTTCTTATTCCTGGGATCTTTTCTTATATATTTTGAAATTATGATACAATTCAGTGGTTGGCTATTTGTTTTACTACAAGAGCCAGCATTTATTATATGATATTCAATTTATGAAATAAAATCATTTCTTGATATAAAAACTTAACTGGGGATATGTACCTATGATATCTGTCAGTAGTGCAAATTCATAACTAGCTTAGGTATCAGAGGTTTAATTATTAGAAATACAAAGTTTATTTAAGGGACCTCTTGGAAATACAAAAGTTAATCATGAGTTCTCAGTATGTGATTTATACGGTGGATCTAAAGGTTTTAGGAGGTAGCGGTGAGCACCAAAAACAGTTCTAGCATTTTCGTTTCTTCTGCTCTGGAAGTCAGTATATTTTGTCTTTCCTATATGAATTAAGAAACTTGTTAGAGCAAACGAAGTCCTTACAAGAATAGCCAAAAATAGCGACAAACAGCCTCCAAGTCCAGCCCTTCATAAATAAATACATTTCCTGGTAATCAAACTGTAATTCTAGGACTAGTATGCTTTTCTGTTATTAAGAAATTATAACATTACTTTGTATCCAAATCCTGGTAAAACAGCCTTCGAGCTCCCTTCTAAATTTTTTTTATTCATTTCTTTTATTTTCAAGCAGGTTAAATCTCCATGTGGCCCTCTCAAGGAGAAGAAAGTTCAGAGAATTCAGGAGTTAGCGTGCTTTTCCTGTAGAGCTTAATGCCCCTACTCTTCCAAAACCCAAGCAGATGGCTCAGACACCAAAGGTTTCACCTGCAGGTGTAGTACTTGAGGCCTTCCTGGTTTCTCACTGCTCTGGCTCTTTAAGATACATTATGGCACTAGTGTGTGTGTGTGTGTGTGTGTGTGTTGGTCTGTCTTACCTGTCCATTGAATAAAGTAAGTTTCTTGGAAACGAGTCATATATTGTATCTTCTACTCTTTCTCTATTTCTCAGAGCAGTTAGAAAATCCTTACGTACAGAGATGGCACTTACTAGATAATAAATTGTTTTTTACTGTGTAGTCCTGTAGTTGCCTTAAACTACAGTAACTGCCTAACCGTTCAGCTGACAGCCTGTTGAACAGGCGAGCTTTTGACTAATTTGCATAGTTTTTGAACTTAGTTCTAGCTTGAGGGTTATCATGATTTTATTGGTGGTGTTATTGTGTTATCAGACTCGTTACAGTACTCCCGTTTTCTCACATGGGGGCTTTTGCAGAAGATGGGGAGTGAGTAGATTGCGAGGTGAAATTTCTGGAGGGGTGGGCTGTAAAACTGCAGTATTTCTAGAATCTCTCCCCTGACCTTAGTCCATCTCCATATCAATAGACAATTAAAATGGCGTGTGAGGGCTCTATCCGCAGTTCTTTTCTGCTGCAGCCTGGTCAAGAGAGAGAGAGGATGACTGCTTGTAAGAAATAAGAGTTTCTTAACTAACTTTATTTCTCCCTTTGACTGATTTTGGTTTTAATAATTATTTTGCCCTGGGTTTCTCCTCCCCAGTTACAACCACCTTGAAATCTACCTAATAATACTTGTCTAAACTAACTGCCCAAGTTCTCCATTTAAAAGTCTATTCAGATTTTCTTCATTCACTTTGAGGAGCTCTCCTGTACATCAAGCGAGCATTTAGATAACACTGGGCAATTTACCTTTATTTATACCAAACTCAGTTTAGCTAACCTGAGAAAATGGGACTTAGAAAAGGAAAGGGGGAGGAAGAGAAAAACAAGAGAGGGAGTGCTTGAGAAAGATGAGGGGGAGAAGGAAAATGGCATCTACCTAGTCATAGGAGATAAAGAAAAATAAGTGACTGGGCACCAAATAATGCTTTGCCTGCTTAATTTTCTCCAGACTGAATGAATGTGGGTAAGAAGTAGCTTAGATAAATTTTAAATTCTAAACCATATTCTTCAATTCCCCAATACCTAAACCCCCTTTAAAAACAGAAAGGATTTTTGAAAGTATGAAAGATCCTATCCGGAAAAAATGCACACCATTCTTAGATGAAGACCAGAAAGATTGCCTAAATTCAAAAGAAGAACCTCAAGAGACTTTCTTAATCAGAAGCCATGTTACAGCTGCACTTGGAGTCTAGAACTCCAAAGTTAATATGAAAATGGGGAGTTGAGTTTCTTTTCCTGTTCTCCCTGCTGCAACAAAGAATTGAAAGGCAGAGACACCACAGTGAAGCAGAGCAAAAGGTTTATTTGAATAAAGGGAGGAACTGACCCGAGTCAAGTAGACAAAGGCAGGTTTACTTGAACAAAGAGGAGAGGAAGGGGAAGCTCACTGAAAGGAACTTCAAAGCTCAAATTAGAGCTCTCACTAGCCCCTCCATACTATCTGAAGCAGGATGGAGTGAAGATTTGTGCTTAAAGTCTGGAAGATTGAACAAAATAGCAAAGTGACAAAGACATTACTGGAGGAGCACAGAGACAAAACACAGTAAGTCGAGCAGTAAGAACTTTTAAAAATACACAGAAAGGGAAGTGCATGCAGCCTCAGGAGGCACACTCAAGGGCTGAGGATTCTGTTCTAAGGCTTTCAAGAATGGGATGAAGGTAAAGGGTTCAGGGGGCGTAGGCTTGTGATGAGGTTTTGGTCTCATGATGTCTGTCTCCAGTGGGAGACACTATGTCATAATCCAGTCAGTCCTCTAGACAATTCTGTAGGAAACTTCCTGCTCTTCTGTAAGATAGTGGCTACTCCCATGCACCAGGTGAAGGGCCCCCACCAGTAAGATGGCGAACTTCCGGCTTCTCTTCGGGGTCCTCGGTTCCCGCCGGCGCCACCTGAAGCCCAATCACCTCTCGCCCCCCTCCCAATCCCAGCACCTAGCCAACAGCCACCAGCCCCGTAGAAGTAACACCACAATCACCCCATGCCCCATCCTATATAACCCAGCACCTTTCCCTAAAAAAGCAGATTTCTCCGGTGAATTGCTGCTGTGTGTCGCTCCTTTCCTTTCATTGGTGCCGAAACCCGGGAGATGGGACACCCCAACTGGGCCCCGTCTTCCCCCCGACACCAGCAGCAGCTTGCCCTCGTCCTCTTTCTCCAGCGCTGGCTCATCACACTCACCACTCCTCTCTGGCCTTTAGGTAAGTTTTCCCCCCAGAGTGGGCCACTCTTCCCCAAGCTATCGCAGTGCCATTGACCGTGATAGTCCAGCAAGGCCCTGACGCTC